AGGGCGGGTGGGGGGCTGCTGCTCACGCTCTATTCTCCAGATGGCCGGGCAAGGGCCAGAGGGAGCGTGCCTGGAGGAGGAGAGCAGAGATGCCAGGAGATGTTCATCCCACAAGACTAGGAGTGGAGTGGAAAGCTTCGTGTGGGTGAACAGTTGCCTTCCCTGCTCTTCCAAAGGCAACACTCCCTCCCTAGTCTGTCCAGCTTCTCTTCTAACCCTGCTTTCCCCCTCTAGGTGCAGTGGGGAGCAAGGATGGGGAGCTTTAACAGCCTCAGCCTGGGGCAAGGCCTAGCAAATGAAGATCCTTTTCCTTATCCCCTCCATGCTTCCCAGCCCTTCAGCTGCTTCGTGCTCTGTGGTGCTCCCTCTTTATCCCCCTTGCCCCCTCCTTGGAGACAGACCCCAGTGGTTCCCTGTCTGGTGGGACCACACTAGAGCTGGTGTGGAACAAATCCGGACAGAGATGAGGTGTCTCTCCAGCACCAGCAGGCAGCTGCCCTTGCTTTGGGGGGGGTCAGGGGGAGTCATCTTCCCACATCTCCCTCCTTCCAGCTGCTTACAGAGCTGTTGGTGGGAGGTGGGCACTGGGGTGGGACCCCAGAGGCTGGGAAGGGTTGGTTCTGTGCCTTCCCATCCCCTTCAGCTCCTGGGCACTGAACACCCACAGCGAGGAAGCCCACCCCCTTCCCACGTGCTTTATCTACCATGGCGAGTTTTGGGGACTGCTGCTGGACTTTGTCCTGCATGCCAGCCCCAACAGGGGCACGCTTGGGGGTGGGGGGAGGCTCCCCGCAGCTTCCTGCCAGACAGGGAGAGGAAGCAACACATGGTCTTCCTCCCCCCTGGCTGGACTGGAGAGCTTGGTGGGGCAGGGGGGGCTTTTTCAGCTCTTCAGTGGCTTCTTGTGGTGGGGTAGGTGATGGGCTGGGAGTCAGGGAAAGACTGGAGCCCAGCCCCTCACCAGGGGACACCAGTAAGCTCTGCACTGGGAGCCCAGCTCTGAACT